TATATATATATATATATATATATATATATATATATATATATATGCACATATATAATGTTCTCTCTATTTTTTCCCCCATGTCCATTATTTCCATGTGTGGTGATTAATCTGGAAGCAGCCATGGCTTATTCATCACCACCACCTCGATTTTATGTCCCCAGCTCAATCTTACCTCCCATCTAGACATAATTTTGTTGAATGATGAGGGACAAGCAGCAGATAAAAATTAATTTCAAGGTTGCTGCTGGAATTCGTACATATTGTCCAGGAGTCATTCATCTGTTCTCTTGTTCCACCTTTGGTTTTTAATTAGGTTGTTTGTAGATGAGCAACCGATAACTTTCATGTTCATGCAGGGGCGATGTGTCCAATCTAATCTAATCTTTTCAATCTGTGATTGTGTTGCTTTTGGTTTTGTATCTTCTCATGTTTTTTTTTTTTATTTATTTAATCTTTTCCCACAGAGCAGAGATAATCTTGGGAAACATCATCAAGAAGAAGTGCTGGAGGTAAAGTAGTGACACCGGGCAAACGGCAACAACTCTAACCAGATGAAAATGTGCCTTATTTTCTCTTCAGAATAAAAGATCCTGATTTAGTGCAACGCCGTGCAAAGCCTGCTAAAGCACTGACATTACAAAGCATGTCCACTTTGTCAGGATGCTTAGGGAGAAAAATCAGTCCCTCGTTAAAATGCAATGATCTTAATGGCCTACATTAATAAAAGTTGTACTTACCAGTCCCCGAAGAACGCGCAAGCAAATCCCTCAACTCCATTAAAGCCTCACGGAAACAGCTTAAGAAACAGTAAGGCCGAGGCAATGAGACGACCTCGAAACTCCCCACATCCCAGGCACATTTACCACTGCCAGGACGTGCCTGAGCGAGCGCAATATGTCTGCAAACCCACACAACCCAGAGGATTTGCTGCTGACCTCTCAGAGTCACACAATCAGGACAATCGTGGGGGCTTTGTGACCAAAGACGAAGGGCTAGGCGTTGATCTCGCTCCCAACTCAGACAGACATCTACTAAGTCACACAGGCCTTGGACATCGAGGCAATGGACACATTTCAGCCAAGTTTTACAACACACACTGTTAACGCTACAAAGAGGCATAGCTTAAGACTAATTATTAAAATTTAGTGTGTTGTTGTCCAAGCTTAACCAGTGAGTGTATGGGAGTATAAACTGATGACAACAGTGGCTCTCAGAGGACTTGATGAGACCTCGGTGCTTACAAATGGAGGTCAAAGACTCTGACACCATCTGTGCTGCAATTCACCACCGTCTCGTCTCCCTACCCGCTATTGTTGACTTTGTGGATGGTTCATCGCAACCTAATTTCTCTTGGTGTAAAAATTTGTTGTAAAAATAAAACAATCTTAAATTTACCAATACTGGACTCATAATCTAGTGTAATTAAAGCTGACAACATTTATATATAAAAAAGGAAATATAATAATTCTTTAAATTTTCTATGGCATAACTTTTTATTTTGAGGTGGGAAAAATAATTCCCCCATTCTTTGGAAGCTTGGTCATAAAATGACAGAACCAGATTATATTTTGAGGTAGAATATCTGGAAAATCCTATGCATGTGTGTATATGTATAAGATATATAATCTCTTAAAAAATGGCCAACATCACTTAATCTATTTCTGCTTTTGCTTTCAAGAGTCTAAATGGTGTGGTGACATAATGGCAGGTGCATATTTCATGATTATACTATGTCACCTCATTTATTGTATGTAGGCAATAAACACTTAATCAAGAGTCACATTTCCACAGCAATTTGCATGTTAAATTAAGCAGGTTCTGCATAGCAATGTGTTCACTTATTACTAAAAACTTGAGGTTTTGTACAAGGTTTTGTACAAGTTTGTAATATTTTAGCCTGTATTTCACCCTGACTCTGAATGTGTATAAATTATTGATCAATTCGAGCATGGAAGGTATGTGGGAGTTTGATTGTTAGCATTCAGAGACTTCCCAATGCGTCGCCTCAAAATTGATGTGAAAGAATCGCACAGTCTGCCACTTCTCTAAGCAGGATGTAAGATCACTGAACAACTCTCCTGTCATTCGTAGATCTGATTGCTTCACTTGCTTGGGTGCACGCACAGCAGCATAATAGCAGAAGCACCTTAATGCTAAAAGAAAATCATCTCTTTAATATTTTTAAACAGCGTTTTTCCCCTTTGATGTGTCTGCTTCCCTTAGAAGATCCAGCCTTGTGATCACCACAAAGCTCTACTGGGGAGGAAAGTAAGTGAATTTGTGTGGGCGTGCAAATTGTTTTTACATATATGTGTGTGTGTGTGTGTGTGTATGTATGTCAATTTTCCAACTCAGATGCTCAGACTATATGACTAATGGCCGGCTAGACGTGAAACTTTTGCCTCCAGCTCTAGGCCCCATGGCGTTGAATCAGACATTCAGGGGAAACCTACAGATGCACACACAGGGCATCACACTGGAAAAAAAAAAGAAAGCAAGCCCCCATCTTGCTTCTGTTTCCATGTTGTATTTAACATCTATATCCCTCAGGCCACACGTCATATTCGCTCCTGCTGCCATGCTGAAATATTGTGAGTCCAGTCCACATTAGTCACGTTCTCCCTCCCTCCAAAAAGCCTTCAGGTTTTCACCAGTGCTTTCACATTCTTCTTTTGGCTTTCTTTAAATATTATTTAAGTCACTACAGAGGGTAAAAAGAACAGAGGGTAAAAAGACTGTGAAATTTTTATATAAAATCACTTTCTCAGGCAAGTGTCAATGAGAGACACTTGCCTGATGCAGTCAGAGGACAACTACTTACCTCATTAGAGAGTCTTGGCGAGCATCTCCGCTTCACATTATGACATTTGCATATGTGATGCATGCCTCCCACATGTTTGCACAAACGTAAGATTACTTGACAATATGATGTAAAGAAAGAAATTTCAAAGTTTGCGCTATAACCAAGCTAGAAGCGAGAGGCCGATGCAGAAACGCTGAAATAATTGAAATTGAGCAAAGTGTAAGATCAGCTAGGCACCATTCCGTAACAAATGTGACCTTGAGGCACTAAATAAGAACAACATGTCAATTTCAGTTCAGTAAGAGCTCCATCGATGGCTCTATCCTGGATAGAAACACAACATGAGCCAGGAGTACTTTCTACTAGGAAGGAAAACATAGATAATGGGAGCAATAGCACTTTCAGCAAAGCTATCAGTGAATAAAACAGAATCACACACCTGGCATCCCTTACAAAATATAGTCATGAGGAAAACATCAGTTTAAATGAGTAAACAAAAGTTAAATGGCTGATGATCTCTTACAACAAATATTTCCATACAAACTAATCTTGTAATACTGCCCCAAGAAACACAGAGCTATATGTCAGATAAGATTTAGCAGCCACACAGTCAGGTTTCCCCTGTGGGAGTGTGTGAGAAACACAGCCAAAGGTAAAGTGGAAATCAGACCTGTCACAAAGCGAGACACAAGAGGGAAGCTAGACATGATAACTTATTTGTTCTGAGTTTCTTCACTTTCCTCAAATAAGTAACTTTTCTGTACCACACAGAATGTAAAAGTTACAAGGTCACATTGAAGAGGATCATTCTGTCCAAAAGAAGACACTGTTTCCAGATTTTCTGTTTCAACTTTTCCAACATTAAACACCTTCCTAGGCCTTTGAATGTAGGGAAAAGAAAAAAGCATCTGTCATTATTTGTTTGTTGGTTGATTGGGGGTTATAATACAAAACTGCAGAGGCATGGAGTAGATGATGAAAAATATTTAATGAAAACACTGAAAAAAAACGTACAAAATCCACTAAGAACCTGGGCAGAACGTAAATCCAAGGAACCACCAAGTAGACGACATTAGGAAACAAGAGGATCCAGCAAGGAGTGACTGAGAATGAGGTGCTTAAGTCTTGGGAGGTTGAATGCTGAACAAAAGACCTGGTCTGATGAGCTAACATGTAAATGTGAGGGGAGAGCACAGAAGACAGGCTGAGAAGAGAGAGGAAGAGGAAGAGGAAGTGACACAAGGGGGGGGGGGGGAGCACACTGAGGACTAGGAAAAGAATCTAATAAAATAATTAGACATGAGAAACATAATAAGACTAGAGCAACTAAGGACTAGGCAAAGAAACAAACATAACTGGAACCACTAAGAAGGAATTGAAGTAAAAATAAAAACAAGGCAGGACTAATAGAAACAAGAACTAACACAAATAATAATAATAATAATAAAATCCAAAACAAACTCAAACAATCCGAGATCCTGACACCATCCTCCCTGGCTCAAGTGGGGGTTCTTTTTTTTATTATTCCGTTTTCAGATATGTCTTCAGCAAGTACATCATCTAGCAGATGGTGGTAATACAATTGTTTAACAGACTTCAACAGAAATAAAGTTAAAAAATAGATAGATATTGTAGAATTAAAAGATATCAGTGTATCTACATTGCTTACAGCAAAATTTAAAAGCGACTCGCTTTCTCTCAACAATGGCAGCTCCTCCAGAGTGGCTTTGAGCCACCTAGTGGTTCCTTTAATTATTGCTCTCTTTACAGTTGAAGTTGCTGGCCATGTCTGGGTAGGTTTCCTCCTTTAGGTGACCGGTAGTGCTTCAGATGTTGAACATTTCAGTGGCTTGAAGGGAACTTATAATGAAGAATCTTGTCTGGCATGACTAATTGTCTCCTTATGCTTTTCTAGCTGAGGTGTTCATGTGTGTCTCTCATCTTGTAATTTTTTTCATCCTGTTTCAGAGCTGAGACAGAGAGAGGCCTCAACCGAAAACACATCATTGAAGGTAATGTGTCAAAGTCCTCCTCTCTGTTTTGTCCTTTACGTTGCACCATCCCTCCCACTCCTGTGTCACTCCTGCAGATCCTCTTTCTTTTACCTTACTTTTTCCTCCCTCCTCGTTCCCGTTCATGTCTCTTCTCACGTCTTCAGTGTTGACGCAGCAGAATTTGAAAGCAGAATTGGCTTTCCCCAAATTGTTACTTTACTTGAGTTTATTTCGCAAAACTTCCTCACACCCCCTTCTGAAACAACTGGCCTCTCCAAAGCGCAATGCACCTCTTACAGTGACTCAGCCCTCTCCCACATTATTAGCATTCACTGCAGCCACTGCAGCGATTCCCACCAAACAAAAGGCGAATGCACCCAGGAAAGGCAGAATGAGAGGGGACAAGGTTTCAGAAGCAGAAGGTTGCAGAGAGCAAGAGATTCAAAGGAAACAAAGCGAAGGTATCATCATCATCATCATCAATTAGTTAAGCCCAGTTTTATTGTAAATGACAGATTTGTGGGAGTAACTGGTGTGACACATGTCATCACAGACTGATGTGCCAACTGAGTGCAGCGTCTGTTGATACTCTCATCTGCAAAAAAAAAAAAAAGCCCCTCAAGGTCACTTGGTCAGGTGCTGTAGTTCACTAATCCAAAACAATAGGTTCTCCCAGTTTGACCTTGAGGTGAGCGAACCTCTTAACAGGCTGAAAACATGTTGAACATTTTCACAAATTCCCTGACAGCTCGAGCAGCGACTGAACGACTTTTATTGAGCTTCCATTTTTAAATGCATCATATGCTGCAGTTGCCGGCAGAGTTGCTCTGTTGTTCAGCGTGTTTACTCGCTTCCATAAATAGAATCCCTTCACGGCCCTTTAAACTCCAGCTAATCCAGCCGACAGCAGCAGCGCGATGACGGTGCAAACCCAGATTAGAATCCATGTTGGAAAGTGGTTCTCAGATTGTGTGGGAGCAGATGACAGGGAAAGGTATAAGGAGTTCTGTCGGCACTAGGAAGTGGTGTATCTCTCAGCTGGGATTAGTGGGTGATGAAGAAGCCTCTGGCACTAATCTGCCACACACTCACACACACGCACGCACACACGCATGCACACACACACACACACACACTCACACATCTAACATTGTTTATGTAAGAGGAGTGAGGATTTTACAGGTACAAGTTTTTGTTTTTTTTCACTTCATACAGTGGATCTTCTTGTCAGAATGCGAGTTCAGTTTCAGAGGGATTATCTTTAAGTCTTGTGGTGTGTTTAAAGAATGCTTACTTTCAATCAAAGATTGCTTTGGAATGCTTAAATAGGATTTATTTTATTTATTTATTTGATGCGCCAACCTGTTCTGGGTCTTTTACTGCTAGTTGAGAAAATTCACCAATAATAAAGCAAAAATGTCACTGCCTTAACTTTTGAAATTACATATTTAACATATTTGGAAAACAATTAGCCACTACTAACTTCTTAGATGGTATCTTGAAATTTAGCTTTAATACATTCACAAAATGATGTTTTCTCAAGATAACATTCATTTTGCAACATGTACCAATCCCTCTGTGAAATATCTGTTTTATTTCCCTTGCTTCTTTGGCTTTGTCATCAACAATCCGGCCCCGTTTTGTTGCTTTTGGCAAGCAGAACAAACCTTTTAGGTATCCCAGAATTAAATCTGCTTGCAAATGAACTGGGATCAAAAGATATGGCAGGCCAGGCACAGCTGAAATAATTTGAAATTAGCTGGCACTTTCTGACATCAAGTTTCCCAGGATAACGAGGGCTCGATGTTAATGTTTTTTCACCAAGCTAGTGCTTTTTGAAACGTCTCTTTGTTGTTGTTACTTTAATGAGGACATTATCATGGATCGAGCTCGCAGAAAGCTGCAGAAATCTCACAAATTTTGGTACAATCGGTACAAGAAAACCTTGGAAAATTGGATCGGGTCCTGCTTCGGTTGCGGAACGTGAATATGCAAAAAAGCAAGCTGCTGCTGAATGCTTTGCACTTCACTTTGCCCTGTCCAACCCATAAATCTTCCTAACATATTCAATCATTTTTCTCACCTCAGGTTTAAAAGGTTCCCTCCAGAGGATGCAGCTCGAATATGTGGATGTGGTCTTTGCCAACCGGACGGACAGCAACACTCCTATGGAGGGTAAGTGATTTTTGATCGGACCTCTGGAGACTGTTGGAGGGTTGGGAGCATAGCATGAGGCATTCTGTTATATGAGAAGGTGAGAAATGCTATTGAGGCCACTGCCTTTGCTGAACTGACAGCTTATATCTGTTTGGTCAAGTAGAAGTGAATTCCTCTGACCCGCGCCGACATAAGTTAATATGATAATCTTGCCTCATTTCTCGTCCTCTTGTCCTCTATTTTGGTCTCTCAGTCTCCCTCTGTTTCTCTTGCGTCTCTGTGGGACCGCTATCTTCCACAGGGTCTCTGAGCTGCCGCCCGCTCCCAGCCCTCCCTGCTCGTCAGAAGCAGGATTATCTGCCTCCTTCGGGAGCGGCTGGTATATTTTTGGGTTGGTCTCTCTTTCTACCAGCCCCGCTGTGCACTTGTACTTGATTTCTACTTTTCAAAGCTTCAGCGATGCCTTTCCCTCGCATCCACCATATGTTATTGTTAATTTCTTATAGACGTTTCCAGAGTTTTCCTCAATTACTTCTCTTCTGATGTGGCAAGATACTTGAGATTCTGTTTTTTTGTCTCTTCACACAAAACCTTCTCCAGAGGTGGTATCCGCCTAAAGGCATGGTGTCTTATTGATCTCCTAAAAATATGTTCTATGTTGCTCCTCATTTCCTTCCCCTTTGTTGCCTCCCTTGACAACCAGCTGACTGTGGGAGGCCAGCCTGTCATACTCATTGTTCCAGAGGCCCGGCTGTCATTATTAGCTGTGATAACTGGCAGGTAAACCCCATAACCTCCCCCGTCAAATCAGATTTGGCCCTTCAGATAGTTTCACTCCTTTGATGCAAAAAAATTTCATTGTCAATCTGACTGATTTATTAATCAATGATCATATTTTAGTGAACGTAACTTGAGCTCCTTAACTCCTGACTACTGTTTCAGTACGTTCTTAATAGTAATAAAAAGCATTTACTTTATTTCAACCAAAGTGGTATTAACCATGCAGAGTGCTTACACTTTTGATGTTATTTGCTTTATCAAGTAATTAATAATAAAAAAAAAACAAGCAGCGATGGTTAAAAATAAGTTATTGTGAAATATTCAAGTTGTTCCTTATGTTCTCATGTATGCCTTTTGGGAATTAGGACACTTTTATGCTCGTTACAAGAAATAAGATTTGCCACAGTTTCTGATCACTGTTGTATAATTACAGAAATAAAGACTTAGGCTTGAACATCTATAACAAAGTCCTGCAAGCATTCACATAAATTATCGAATAGAAAATCATTTGAACTTGATTTTGGCTCGTAGCCACTGTAAGATTAATGCCACGCATCAGCTCTGTAATGTGCCCCAAATACTTTCCACTGGTTGCTCTTTCCTCTTGGGACCGCTGCAGCATGGTGAACTTGTTATTCACATCTTGTTTTACACACAGGAATCAATACAAACTAGCTTAACAACATCAGTTATAGGAGGAGGCATGGTAGCATTTTAAAGGGACATCTAGTGGCAGCTAACAGGTGCTTATGCATGCATGTGTTTGCTTGTTTTGTTATTGTTGTTTTGTTTTTTTTTACCCTAACTACATACGACCTTGCGCGAGACAACTTGTGTCCCCTTGGGGACGAAAAGTGATGTCATGGCAGCAGAGTCTGTCTTTATTATCATCACTGTGTCCCTTATCCCATGGCCTTATTCTTCTTTGACTCTTTCCAGTCCTCTGATATTCCTGACTGGTTTTTTTTTTCTTTCTTTCTTTACTTAACATATTTTCTCACAAGACTCTTGTTTATTTTCGTCTACTTTTTGTTGCGCCTGTCAGTTGGAAAGTTGGCACTGCATAGATGGTTTCCCCCCAATGTGGAATTTCATCTGACATGTCAAAAATTGCATCGTTTATAGGAATTGTCGCACGGCACACACAATGAGATTCCTGCCTACTGGAGCAGAACGCATGTCAATTATTGTACTAATAGCTACACAAAGGCCTGTTAACCAAACAGCTCAAGGCTCTGAATTGGGTTGCAAACCATTCGTCCTGGATCTGATTTTAGACAGAGAACATCACGAAAGCTGCTGAAAGGTATAAATGTTCCATTAATAAAATCATTTTTTGACGATCCCAGCATCCTGACACACTTCTCAGTAGAGTAGCTTCAACACCTGCCTTCATTGTCATCAGATCCTTCCCCCCCAGAGCCGTAAACCTTGAATGCGGTCTTCCAAGGCATGGAAAATCTCCGCTGATGTGATATATTGATGAGCAGCACACTTTCTCTGTGTGCATGCAGGAAGAATATAAATAAAAGCTTCAAAAGGCAGAAACATCTCCAGAACAAATCCGACAAAAAACACACCGACAGCCACAGAGACACCTGTCCAGATATGTACAGCTATTTATGTGTTGTTGAGGATTTTCTCACACTTATTGCTTCACGGTTCAGAAGGGGCACTGTCATACCTGCTGGCTGGAGCTCACCAAATGTTCCAGACTCTGTGGCTCACTGCTGCTGGGAAAGAGCTCAAGGACACGCAGAGACGGGCTAACAGCCAAGCAACTTTCTATTACATGCATACCAATAAAGGAGATTTGGATGCGCAAGCAGGAGGAGTTTATCGCCTTAATGAGGAGTTTCTTTTTTGTCATGTTTGCAAGTGTTTCTTTACCAATCCAAATAAATTTTACTTTTTTTTTTGTTTGTTTGTTTACTGAGGTTAGGAAAACTCTGACAAGATGTGCTGGAAATCTCAATTAAACTTTACAGTTTAAAAACAAACTGGTTAATAGTGTATGTCTTTGCTCTCTGAAGTCGGATTTTCTCACTTCGTGCTCCAAAAAACTAAGAGCACCTTATTTTTAAGAGTAAAAACCCTCACTTTTTTTTCCTTCTCCATAAAGTTCTGATTTTTTTTAACACATTAGCTGACAATACTGTTACCCACATAATTTAAAGACCATATCTGTGATGTTATTCAGTTTATTCACAGCTCTACAAGTTAAAAGTGGCCACATTAAGCCGTGACTTTACTCCTCTGGCTCTGATTTACCTGCAAACCGTTGCCCCACAGCAGACCACACAGTCGCACAGTACCAACACAATAACGGTGCAGTTTAGTTCCAGTCTTGGTATGTGAGGGGCAAGGCAAGGATAATAAGTAACAGCCCCCCTCAGAGATAGAAACTTTATAAACCACATTTGCCAGTTTCTTGCTTCACGTTTTTTTTTTCTTTATGTCCTTGCGTCCCTCACATCCTGTCTTCCATCCCTCCACTTTGGAGCAGATCCTTCTACCCTCCCACCTGCTTCGCCCACGCACACACACTTGCTCTCTGTCTCTCATGAAGGCACAGTTTGGTTCAAAGAAAGATCCGGTAATTAAAGAAAATCATTAGTTGTCTCTTTTTTCACTCTTCTGTGGATTTAAATCTCTTCCTAATTCTCACCCTATCAACTTCACACTCTTGCAGCACCATTTGCATTGTGCAAATGGAATAGGATTATTCATTAACAGACATGGAAATGCAATATTACGCAGACTGAATTTAGTAATGAATAATTTGTGTGTAACGAGACGTTCATGTGATCGACCAGCAGAGGATTTCCTGATTTAAAAGCTTTTTTGGAAGTTCTTTACAAATGGATTCATGAATAAAGCTCTATTGTTTAGCATGTAAATAACCAAACAGAGCATTTTTGCTGCTTTCCGTGTCATAATCACACACACACACACACACACACACACAGAGAGACACACACACCTAAAGGCTACAGCTGACTTCTCTCCCTTCAGTTTCACCTTGCTTATATATTTGCACAGCACAAGAAGCGTTTTGTCAAGGCAGCTTTTTCACTTAGGGCCCCACAGCATTTGCACACATGTGCGCAAATGATCTAATGTGACCCCAGCAGATCACATAGTGTACAAACAAGTTTTAATTAAAGTAAACCCTAGAGCTGCCAGCTTCAGCGCAAAAACAAAACAAAACAAAACTGTGGAACTTTCAGTGGAAGACCTTAAGATGGCACCAACTAATATTCAAATGTCAACAAAGCACTTAGTTAGTGTTTGATATTTGTGTTTTTATAGAAATTGTGAGAGCTATGACTCATGTGATCAACCAAGGGATGTCCATGTACTGGGGAACATCTCGCTGGTCTGCCATGGAGATCATGGTAAGTTATTGCAAAAGATATTACACGACATGGAAGGTTAGATAAATTCACCAATATTAATTCATTTTCATCAGTCCATATTGTCATGATAATATGGTCATCTGGGAAAATATCACTGCCTCATTCTGTCCTATTCAGAACTGGAGAAATGTGTTAAATAATATAGTTTGTTCAGCATAGTTTTCTGTTGAATGTGATTTCCAACTCATAAAAAAAAACATTAAAAAATTATATATTTTTCACATTGCTTAAAATGTTACTTTTTTTCTTTAAAATGTAAAAAGCAATAATAATGAAGCCAATAACATCAGAAGGCTAACCTGCTAAAAGATGATAATATCTGCAGCTCTGGGAATAGATAAAAGTCGTTAAGCATAAAGGTCAATGTTGCATGTTTTCCTTTTCTCTTCGATTTCTATTTCCCTTTTAATTAGGAAGCCTATTCTGTGGCCAGACAGTTTAATCTTATTCCACCGGTGTGCGAGCAGGCTGAGTATCATTTCTTCCAGCGGGAGAAGGTGGAAACTCAGCTTCCTGAGCTCTACCATAAAATAGGTAAGCGTAGCAAGTTTCCACTTGTTTTCAGTGAGTTTTGTCCTGGATAGTCAACATCACATGTGTCTCTGTTCTTCCATAGGCGTGGGTGTGGTCTCTTGGTCTCCTCTGGCATGTGGGATTATCACTGGAAAGTATGAAAACGGCATCCCAGAATCCTCAAGAGCTGCGATGAAGGTAGAAATGTGATTTTCATGGGTCAGTCCTCAAAGAATTATACTGTAATGCAGTATTAAGTACATAAAGTACAAAAGTGTTTATCATTTTTAGCCACTTCACAATTGCCCTTGTTGCACAAACTTTGAAACACATATTTTTAAATAACTGGGATGTAAAACAATATGTGGCTCATAAAATTGATTGGAAATAAAACCCTAAATCTAATACAGCATTCTCTAATTTATCATCCAAAAATGGAGAACGCTACACGAATGCAATAATATACAGTTATGGTTGTCTGCCTACTCTGACAGGGCAAGGAAAGCTTTAATCAGACAAGTAATGAGAAGATCAATAGCTCTCAATGAGCTTTAAAGTTTCACAGTTTGAAAGGAAAAATCTTTTTCTAAGACAACTGTGGTGTCAAAAGATTGCTGTTCTTCCATATAAATCTGGTATTAGACTGACAAAAAGAAATTAGTTCCTGAAAGAAATTAGGCAATGTAGTCAGACAAGACCTAAATTGAACCTGCTAAATGGTGCTGAATGATGACTCGTTTAGCTATTACATTAGCAGGCCTTGGTGTACCTATTAATATGACAAACTGACATGCATTCTCTTCCAGACGGTCTGATACCTCATTGTATTTTGACAATTCTTACAAATGACACAATTTGATGGCATGTCAGATGAAATTCCACCTTGGGGAAAACCCATCTATGCAGCCGCAGCGTTGTAACTGACAGGTGCAAAAATAAAAATAAAAAACGAAACAGGAGTCAGAGTCTTGCGGGACAGGGAGATTAATCACTGTTGACGGGGAGATGGATGGAGCTAAATACTGGCAATCCTAGAAGAAAAGCTGTTAGCCTTGAAAGATCTGAGACTGGGATCATTCATTTTACAGCAAATAAACAACACTGCCGGACCTACAATGCATTGGTTTAAATCAAGGATGATTAATGGGTTAGTATGGCCCTGTTAAAGCCTGTAGAAGTCTGAGGAATGACTTGTTCACCAGTGCTCTCTGTTCAGTTTGACTGAGCTTGAATTATTCTGCAAAGAACAGACAAAAAATATAGGCATCCAAATCGGCAAAATTGGTAGTCACTTAGATCTGTTATTTTAACAAACAGTGGTTCTAAAAAAAAAAGGCCGAATATGAATGCATGTCTCTTGGTTAAAAACCACAAATTATAGTTTTCCTCCAATTCGCAATAATGAACTACTTTGTGTAGAGGCCCGTGAAATTCTAATAATACTCTTTATGGTTTGTGGTTGTAAAGTAACAAAAGAGGTTCAGTCACTTTTGTAACAATATGTAGTTTAAGTTGATTTTTATGTTTAACGTTTAATTCTGTTTATGCGTCTTTATTTTTCTAGCCATATCAGTGGTTGAGGGAGAAGATAACGAGTGAGGAGGGGAGAAAACAGCAATCCAAACTAAAAGAACTGACTCATATTGGAGAAAAACTAGGATGCACCTTGCCACAGTTAGCCATCGGTAAATATCAAAGTTCATTTCTCATTTTCGTCGCGTCCACTGTTAAATATGTTTTCATTAGAATTACCCTGTTAGACTAATATTCTGCTATCCTCATCGTAAGCCTGGTGCTTGAGGAATGAGGGAGTCAGCTCAGTGCTCCTGGGGGCCTCCAATCCCACGCAGCTGACAGAAAACCTGGGAGCCATTCAGGTACACATTCAAGCCCTTTCCAGCATTTGCTTCTTTGTGTTGTTGCCCAGCATTGTCAGCGTTTGATAACGCACTGTTGTTTTTGTTTTGTTGTTTTGTTTCTGCACATTTTAGGTAATTCCAAAGATTACAGCAGGTATTGCTTCAGAAATGGACCATATTCTGGGCAACCGTCCACACAGTAAAAGGGACTACCACCACTAGGATGGACACTTTCTACTAAACTACGCTCATAAGGCTTTTCAAAGCTCACTTTTCACAGCCATGGCACCATAAGTGCGTGCCCACGACTGTGTGTATCTGTGGAGGACTGTGTGATTGTACTTGGCTCTTTCAACTCATAACTGTGAAGTGGGCTACATGACGACAAAGCGTGCATGCAAAACCGGCCAGTTATCAGACTGAACACGATTTGGAGGATCCATCAAGACAATTCCCTGAAACAAAAAAAAAAAAAAAAAACTTCAACAACAGCGAACTTTGCAGAAGGTGCTGAACCATATAGTGCTGGAAGAAGAATAGAGTTAATTGTTCAAATACTCCGTTAAAATGGCCATCAGTGCATGTAGAGAAAACTACTGAGGAATTAATTACCTCTAAGCATCCAATTAAGCATAGCAGAGCACTATAACAGATTATTTGCATCAAAATGGACCTAATGCTAGAGAAATCTATTTTACTGTATAATGTATGTATTGTAAAAAGAATTACAAATGGTGATTATAATGAGCCATATTTCAGCAGAATGGATGAACATTCCCCAATGCAGCTGGAGCTTGCTTGTCCATGTGATTGCTTCAGAACTGGAAGACCTAAATGTCAGCTAAACATTGTTTTTGCTATTGCCATAAAAAACAAAGTTTAATTAGTTTAAATGAAATAAATAAATATATATATATATACTCTAAACATATGTAATGACTGTTACATGTATTTCTTTAATGAGCAGTAATGTTGTTCTGTTCTCTTTTTCACTTATGCAATAGCACCGCAGAGTGTATTTTCCTACTGTGCCCTTTCAACCTATTTCAGTTTGTACACTGGCAGAGTTTCTGTCAGTAGGAATTGCATCTGATTCATTTCATTTCAGTCGGTACTGTGGATAGAAAAGTGTCTCATTGAAGTCGGGGTGATGATCCTCCTGCAGGGGAGCTTGTGGATAACAAATAAAGCCTTGTGGCTAATGAAGAGACATAGTGGTGGAAAAAATTAAAAAGAACACCATATGGACCCTTGCAGTAATTGCACCTGGAACAAACAGAATTTTTTTTTTTTCCTAGTTTCTCCCAGATGGTTGTTTTATGTAATGGGATCATCTTTGCTATGTTCTGTTTGTCCAGATATGTATTATGGTGTTGTTCATCAAATTTGTACATGAAAATTAAAGAAACGCTTAGAATCGTGTGCCTCCTATTTTGACTCAGAAAATTAAAAATGTCAAACTGACGGTAAAATGCAGAAACAAGAGTCTTTAAGCATCTTAATATTATGAACTTCATTTGTTATATACAAATAGTGTAATTTATTATTGCATGTGTTTGATTCATAAATATTTTATTTTATTTTAGCTTATTTTAGCTTTGATTTGTCAGAACGATTCCGTGAAGGCGGGTTTTCCGGTTAAAGTATCGAATAGAATTTCTGCAATAGCCACGAGGAGCTCCGATTGGCTAGAAGAAAGGTATCCGTCTTTTCCCTGAAACCCGCGGTTTCCAAAAATAACACTCGGGGGAGTACAGACTTGTAGCAGGCCTAGTATTGTCAGTAACAATAACTAGGCCTGTTTTTTAACTAAGAGTGACCGTCTGGAAGGTCGTGACGCTTTGCCAACACTCCGCTAACCTCGTCTAAGAATGCGGCTTTTCAGGTGAAGCGAGTAACTAAAGCAAAAGCTGAGTTCAGTGGGTGTGTTTGCAGTAGCATTAGCATAGGAGTTAGCAGCCAGAAATCTCAGCGCAGACTCCGTTACCTTGTCAACTAACACCAACTGAAACTACCTCCTAACAACGAGGAAATACAAGCCGCCATACTCAGGTTGATGTGGGTGTAAAGGCTACTTCACCAGCTGCTCGGGTGTCCATTAAAACCGCCTCAGTTTGTTGACTTTCCACCACAGATGATGAAAAGCAATGTCGACTGATATTAGATCATACATGAGCTTGGGAGACAAAGGACATACCATTTGTGTGCCACCCGACATCTCCTGCGACCAGCTGAAGGATGATTTCCTGAATAAGTCCTTCCCAGGTACTCGGACACCGAGCAACAGCAAAAGTTTTGTTGCTTTGCAACATCGCGATTATCCTGATTTCATTGCAGGTAAGATTTATTTCTACATCTGTCGTCTTGACAAGTCTGGATGTTTGAAATCCAATTAAGCCAAAAACTGAAGCACTTCTAATTAGCGCTCTTATTGGAAAGTGGATAACTGTGTGTTGCAGGTGAGCCTTTGGATGTTTGCACTACAGTGGCAACAAAAAAACATTGTTTACTTCCTGGCTCCCAAGTTTCTGTTGACTCCTTTTCAAATTCTTCCACTGAATCTGAGGAAAGCTTCATCAGTCTCGTTATTTCTGGAGACTTTGCTCTATCAGGACATCCATCTGCCATCAACCCTAACAAAGTTGTTCTTGTTGTCTCCCACAAAACAACTCAGGTACTGTACATGCATTCACTTACATTTACTGAGTATCTCCTCATATCTGGAAACTAACCACTTAATTATGTCCTTTATACACTTTTTTTTTACAGATTTTATCAGCGAATGACCAGGCGCCCAAACTGTTTGAATGCTCCACTGAGGATCTGGTTGGAAAGAAGTTGTCTTCTGTCTTAAAGAAAACAACTCAAGTTTTGGAAAAATCGCTGGAAGAAGATTATCAGCTTGCAGATGGAACTGTTGCTATTGTGTCTGGAAAAGTGGTATGAAATCTATGAAACTGAAATTGTTTTCTGAGTTTTATAGCTCATCACGTAGTCAACTGGGCCGCATCATTTGAAGAAAACACAATAATGTTTTGTCTTTACAATGTCCCCATGAGATTTAACATTGTGGTCACTTAAATTTGAATCAAGCACATGAATCAACTGGCAAAATACAGTACTGGCAAGCTGAGTTTGAATGCAAGCTCCTTGAGAAATTGCAAATATTGCATCCAGGCAGTCCTTTTGTCGTGGTAATATGGACCACTTGAATGTTGTGTGACAACTGATTCAATGTATTGTACCAGTCTAGTGCTCCATTAACTATGATTGTCTACTCTCCTGGTGAAATATATGTGTACCTTTTTAGACGTTTGTGATTTTGTTTTTGAGGTGGATGCTGTGACATTATCTGGAGAGGTACCAGTATCGGTGTGTACCCACAGGCAGTCAGAAAATGAAGACCACCGGCTTGTCATGATGGAATGTGTAGAGAGGATATCCTCCTTTGTGTCCTTCTCCCAAGACGTGAGTACACCAATATTTACCGTGGAAAAATTACCTTCATATGATGCATACCTCTACTGCACAGAAAGATACAGAACTCCATTTTTAGTCTGATTTAATGACTCAGACTAAGTTCGTCCAGTTTTTAATTCAGATGTTGTGAATCAACATATCAGAAGCTCACAAAGTCATGACGTCATCATTTGGGATTTCCCAGATTGTTTGAAAGTGTATCTAAACCTCTGAATTTAAAGAAAGTAAATATTATGGTTCTAGCATTTAATACATGGAAATCATTTTAGTAAACATACCTGACCTCAGCATAAAAAAATAGCTTTGATTTAATGTCAGACAGCGCAGAAAAGGGGATTATGTGTCTTTTCATGGTCTATATAAATATCTGATGCCTGCTGCATATTTGATGTCATTTTAAGGGCTTGATACTAAGCTGTGACTTGGCGTTTGCTTGTCTCCATGGATATCACAACCCTGAGGAGCTGAAAGGAGTGTCTGTAAAGGAGCTTATCCCATCTTTACAAATCCCCGTCTACAGTCATGCATTGCCCAAAGTAAGCGGACAACACAATTTACCTCATGACATCTCCCTTTTCTGACACTTTTTATAAAAATTCCAGTACCTAGCTAGTTTTCCTCAAATATTTTTTAGCTTTAGTATTTCATTAGTCTGATTATGACCGCATTTTCTCCCTTTCTTTCAGATGCTGAGGGTTCAGAAGGTGTGTGGGAAAAGCACAGGAGGTGCATCTGTCCCTCTCTATGTGAAACTCCAGGGGGCTGCGCTGTGTGGAAAACCCCAGTACCACCACAACAACGGCGGCACCTTGTCAAGAGACGGCTCCCGTCTCATTTCTCCTGTGAGCAACATGAGACTTTCAGATCATAGTAACGTTGAAGAAGCTCTAACTAAAGAGCAGTCTCCAGGTTGGTTATCTATAATGTGTTTATAAATATTGCAGCGTTAAAATCACCAGAATTTTATCGTCGTGATATAACAGGAAAAATGAAAGAAACGGTTGTTAAATCACGCATTAAGTCAAAAAGCTTTCACGAGCTGAAACAATTCAGCACACTCCTAGAGAAACAAATAGTAGTTGCAAGATGCATTTATTTTATTTTTTCATTGTAATGATGGTTACAAATCCTCAGTCAGTGTTTCGAACCTTTGCCATTCTGTACATTTGTATCTTTGGTTGTTTCGTACCTGCCGGCGGGTAATCTTATGTGCTCCATTTGACAACCAGCAATCTAATGTTCTATAATCTATAAGTCTGCTGAAGGGAAATGTGTTTTTATGGCTACAATAGATAATTCCTACCAGCATAAAGGATGCTCAGAGGCAGTTTGGTTTGATTAGATGTGTTCTGTTATATTCCATAAGAGTCGAATGGAATATGACTCTTATGGAATATTTACTTTGATTCAAATGGAGTGAATCAAAGTAATTGGAAATTGGGTGTCATAAAAGGTTTCCACAAAAAATATAATTAAACTAAATTACAAGTGACAGTTGAGCATTTCTTTGATTATTTATATCCATAAGTTATGAATACTGAAGTGTTACAAAATGTTTTAAGTCAGTAATAACCAATGTTTTTTATGCCATCCAGAAGCACCAATTTAAAAAGATTGTGAGCTACAATTGTAGGCCTGTCACGATAAACGATAAATCAATTAATCGCGATAAATTAAACCTATCGACCTCATTTTAATTATCGGTTTTGTCTCTTCCTGCCTTTTTTTTTCTTTCTGTTGATGACACTGAATGGCAAAAGGTTCAGCTCCGGTGCTCTCCACTGACCCTCCCTTCCTCATTTCCTTAGTGTAATGTCAAGCTCACACTACACGAGTTGTCGGCCGGCTGTCAGCCTATTTTCAAAACCTGAGACACACATTAGCCAACAGAAATCCTATAACGGTTCGATCGGGTTCGTCGTGCCGTGTGGTGTCCAGCCACATGGGCACAAAATAATGGCTACAAGTCCAGTTAACTAATTTTAAAATCGGGCATTAATCAATGCTTTACTAGAATCTACCTGTTATGCATGTGGCTAGAGTCAGCGTAAAGTCCTGACTGAATGAAAATCATTATAACCCATTTATGTCACGTTAACGAAGAACAGCTGAAAAGTTACCGGGTTTATCAACTGCGGTAGCAATTTGGCTCCAACTCCTCCCCTTTTAATTTCTATATTCTTTGCACGAAACGTTGAATAAATATTAATGTTGTTTCCACATATCATCTCCAATGTCCGCTGGACTTCGTGTTGCTCCGTGTCAGCTGTTTGGGATTCCCCTCCGTAATTTCCCCTCAGAAATCACGGAGGTGAATCCCCGCTTTCTGATTGGCTACCTGTCATATTCAGCGTTAACGCTTCGGGGAAGGGAAAACCCCTGATTTAAAGCGTCCACGACTATCCACCGTAACACACTACACGGTTACGAAATCACCAGCTACAATCTTAGATCGGCCAACGATCTAAGATTGTTGTAAGGGGAAAATAGGGGCAAAAAATCGTATTGCGTGAACTATTGCATCAGTAGTGGGAGTGTCCATCTTCTCTATCTAAATTTAGTGATTATTAAAGGGTAATATATTATACAGACTTCATAATCTGCACTCTTTTTGAATGCAGTATTTATTTCCACTTTGGCTTTATGTTGTTTAGTTTTCATTCAAGTATGTTTTTTTGTTAATGGAGACTGATAATCTATTTTGTTTTTGTTTTTGGTTGTTTTGTTTATTTAGTTTATCAGTTGAGTGTTATGTGTTCTTTTGAAAATAAAGTGTATCTATCTATGGCAGGAAATCGCATGCATTATTAGTCATTTCCATTAAATCAGTGTCAAAAGGTCTTGAAACAATATTATCGTTTATTGCAATAATTTAGACAATCGCTCAGCAAAATTTGTTATCGTGACAGGCCTAACAATTTGTTTTATTTATTTATTTTTATTAAGACCACATGAATTGTCTTGTTTATTTTATTCTTATATGCACATAAGTATATCTTTATTTTAGTGAGACAAACTGCATGTGATTCTTGAAACCACCAACCTGATAAAAACCTTAGTTTTGTCTTTTGGATCTTTTACAGAAGACGGATTTGACCACACCGTCTCCTCTCCCACACCAACGGCAGAATACTCTGCAACTGTCTGGGCGTTCGCTCCGTTGAGCGGTCTTCTGCTCCTGTGGCCAGATGGCTCAATCTTCAGCATTCACAACCATCTGGCCCTCAGATTGTTTGGGTACAGCAAGGACGAGCTTCTAGGAAAGGTTAGTCAAACTTACCAGTCCAGCACTGCTGCTTCTCAGACCAGCTCTAATTTGTGTCCCTTTTTGTCAACAGAGTGCTGCTTTTCTGATGCCCGGTTTCTATGAATGGATGACTGGCGCGAGGAAAAAGGCTGGCGCTGTTTCTGACACTCGCGTAGAGCTGGACAAAAGTCCAGCTGTGTCCAAAATATCAGAAAATGATGGTGAGCACTTCTCTTTTTCTGAAAATTTCTGGTTTGATATTCGCCTTTTCCAGCAGGATTATTTCTACATGCCGTATGTTTTGCAATGTGGATCATTTAGGTGTTTTTTTTTTTTTTTTTTTTTTTTTTTTTCAGTTCTTTGTCCTTGGGGGGTGGGGGCCTGGGGAAGGGGGGAGCGGGGTTCC